GACGCCCCCCCCCCGACGGGGCGGGCAGGGCCCCCAGCAGCCGGTGTGTGACTGGGAGGGGGGAATCCCGGCTCTGGCGGTGCCGGGAGGTTTAAATCCCAGAGGGGCGGCTCCGACGGGCCCAGTTCACACCCACGCCGCCAAGGAGCGGAACATCAGGCACGGCAGGGCGCCCGGGGCTGGGCCGCACGTGGAAGGAAGGGGGCGGCCGGAGCTCGCGGGGCGCTGGGACCCCGCGCGCCGGGGGGATCCGGGGGGGCGCTGCCGGGGGACCCCGGATCCCAGCAGCGGGGGGGGGGCTCCCCCTGCAGGCCCCGCCCCGCGCTCACTCACCCAGCGCGGGGGCAGCCCAGCAGCGCTCTCCGCAGCGGGGGCAGCAGCATCGTCTCGGGGCAGCGCGGACTTGCAGCCGACGGGCCAGACCCAGCGCACGCTGAGCAGGGGACCCCTGAGCCGGGCTGTACCATCTCGGCGGGGGAGGACGGACTGCAGCTCCCGGGAGGGGACCCAGCTGCCCCCCCCGCCCGCCCCAAGGCTAGTGCATCCAGCAGAGCACCCCCAAGCAGTCACCGGGTGGGGATGTCCCAACCCCGTCCTCCGCGCCCATTCCCCAGGGATCGCATACTGTGCCGCTAGCCGCTTCCCCCCTCTCCAGCCCATGGTGCAGTCCGTTCTGTCCTAGGGCGGCGCTGTATCAGCCAATCAAATCATAACGTGGGGGCCTTCTGGCCAATCAGCTGCTGCTTCATGTTACAACCGGATGCAAGGAGGGAGGTGTCGGTAAAGTTCTTTAAAGAGTCACCGGCGGGGTGGGGAAGGAGAGAGTTTGGATAGACCAATGGGGGGAGGGGGTTGGCCTCAGGCCTCTCAGCGTCATACTGTACCAGCCCCACCCTCCAGAGGGTCCCGGGGGGGGGGGGCAAGAATTAGAGAATAAAATAAATTTATGTATTGAAATGAGAACTATGAATGGTAACTAGAAATTGACCCAACTGGCCACATGGGCACAACCCCAGACACCCGCCTGGTTCCTATGAGTTACCTGGGCAGGGCCCAAGGATTGGCTCTTCAAACATGTATATAAAAACTGTCTCCTGTGTCCTGAGAATATAAACAGGGCGTTTGTTGCTCCAGGACAAATACTTTGTGTCCCACAGTTCGAAGCATGATCTGGCTCTTGGAACAAATCCATGGCCACCTAAGGATTTTTACAGTTGGCAATGCACTAGGCCCCAAAAACAACAGGGAGTCCGGGGGCACCTTAAAGACTAACAGATTTAGTCTTTAAGGTGCCCCCGGACTCCTTGTTGTTTTTGTGGATACAGACTAGCCTGGCTACCCCCTGATATTTGTGCCCCCAAAGCCACTCAGAACTCTGTTGCAGTTGCAGGGGAACCCCCATCCTCCCACTCCAAAAACACAGGGCTCAACTGGATGAGCTGAAGGGGAAATCTCTTCACACAAGGAGCGTAACTGAGATGCGACTCATGGGGCTTCAGGATGGGCTGTGAAGCAAAAAAAATACACAGCCCAGCATGGCAGCAGAATTGCAAGGCCTATTTGAGATCCACCCACTAACCTTCCTGAAATCTGTGAAGAGGGCAAATAAGCTACACAGTTTAAAAAAAAAAAGTGCAAAGATTTTCAAAAGCAACTACTCATTTTGGGAACCTATCTTGAGGTATCTGAAAAGGGCGTGATTGTCAAGAAATGGGAAGCGCTCACCCTTTGAAAATCAGGCCCTTTTGACATGTCTCAAGCCAGGCAGCCAAAATCTCTAGTCATTTTGGAAAATCTTGGCTTCTGAGTCTAGAAAGCCCAGTTAATGTACATCATTAGCTCCTGTGTAAATACAAAAAGCAGGCAGGCAGAGGAAGTTACACTGTTTGTTTCATGTTTAAGGGGAGCACTGTCTAAAGTTTAGAGAGCAGCTCTCAACTGGCCTCACGCAAAAGAATGAGAAAAATCTCTTCCTCTGACAGAGGAATGTTGACAAGCCCCTGCTCATCTCCCCCTCTAAAAAGGTAAAACAAAGCAATGTCTTCTGGGCTTAACACAAGGCCTGTTTTTTCATTGAGGCTTTTGGGGGGGTGGGGGGGGAGAAGAGGTCTGCTAAAGCCTTTTTCCTTTTTCAGCTGGGGTCAACTGCTGATTTCAGTTTGATTGTTTTTGGAACTGTAAAGGAACCTAGAGCAGTTTGTTATAAATCTAAATACAATCTTGGTGCCCCTTTACTGCTAAGTTACAGACTTGGCTTGGAAGTATTCCCTCACCTTTATGGACACTTAAAATTGAGACATGCATGTGAAAACAAGGGAGCTCTGAATTTTCCTGCAATCTTTGCTATTGCTCTTAATCCACAGGAGAGTAACGGAAACAATGGAGAAGTAAAATAATTCACTATCGGTGCTACTGTTGTCTCTTTCGAATGTGCAGGGTCCATGGGCAAAGCAAAAAAAAAAAAAAAAGGTGGGGGGGAGACAAATGGAGAGCTTGTGGTAGATAGTTGGAACAATTTATAAGGGTTTGTTTAAACAAATTGTCCTACTTACAAACAAGAGCTTTGTGTAATTCATTAGTTTACGTAATTTTGAAGCATAAAGATGGACTTTTGACCCAAAGTAGAAATCTTGTCCTAGCGCAGGCTCAGTTACATTCCATAGAACACAGGTGGCTTAATTTTCATGCACCAGCATGATCCATATAGTTTCAAGGGGTGAGGAGGATCTTGCCCACTCTTAGATAGGTCTGTTGTCTTTTAGAAACATGAGGACATGTTTCCGAAAAGTAAAGTTCAGTCTTGCCAACTTCCGGCAGCAAACAGCAGCAGAGCCACCAGGAGGAATGTAGCAGAAGTACTTCAACTCTGTTGTTGCTTTAAGTCGGGATTTTTGTTTAGTTCCGAGGGTATTTAAAATTCAGAGACTATTTTCTAGGACAGTATAAGATGCAAGTTATCTCCAACCTTGGACCAATGTCCTTTGGTGAGCTTGGTGTAGAAGGAAAGAACATGCATAAGAGAGAAAGGTATTTAGACATAGCAGTCAGTTGCGTGCAGTCATGTTCCTGTTTCTGCTACTAATCAAATTTTAATAAAGCTTCTCACTCATAGTTAGGGCCCTACCAAATTCACGGCCAAGAAAAATGTGTCACAGACCGTGAAATCTGGTCTCCCAGCGTGAAATCTTTTCTTGTGTGTGCTTTTACCCTATACTATACAGATTTCATGAGGGAGACCAGTGTTTCTCAAATTGGGGGTTCTGGCCCAAAAGGGAGTTACAGGGGGGTCACAAGGTTATTTTAGGGGGGCCGTCCTTACTTCTGCACTACCTTCAGACTGGGTGGCCAGAGAGTTGCAGCTGGTGGCCAGGCAGTACCGCAACCCCCACTACAATAGCCTTGTGGAACACCCCCCCCCCCCCCAGCTCCTTTTTGGTTCAGGACTTCTACAATTACACCACCATGAAATTTCACATTTAAATAGCTGAAATCATGAAATTTACTATTTTAAAAATCCTATGACCATGAAATTGACCAAAATGGACGATGAATTCGGTAGGGCCCCATTCATAGCTGAGGCTGCCATAGTCCTGCACTGCACGAAGCCTACATTTAGTCTGATATAAAGTGACAAGACAAAGTAAGCATTATTATTAATTTCAGCATAAAGACATTCTAAATGAAAACATCAGTGCACGGGATGGGCAATCAGAGCTCCTGCAGTCTAATCGTAGCTTTGCCACTGTTTGGGATCATTAGCCAAGATCACACAATTCCTGCCTCATTTTCCCCATAGGTAAAATTGATACATCACCTTCATTATAGGGCTGTTGGGAAAACTAATGGTTGTAAGCTTTGAAGCCACTGAATTTCTATAAAGTGCAAAACATTGAGGGGTTGTATGAGGAACCTTTCACCTTCAGAGAACTGAACTGTTCAGCAAAAATTTCATAGCATTTTTTGCTCACACACATCACTGAATGGTAAATAGACTTGGGTTTAGGTACAGTATATTTGAATGGCTTAGCTCAGTATGACAGCCCTATCTGCTTTGTGCCTTTGGATTTGATCTGTGAGCTTGAGTTAGCATTTAGTCTTACCTGTATAAAATGCTGCTAGCTTATGCTTTTCAGGTTAGTTGATGTGTCTAGATTTTAGAAAATGGGGAAGGGGACCATTCAGAACATTGAGGGGCCCTTTCCTTTGAAGGTTGGAGGGCTGGATGAGTGATTCAATACTGATGAGTTTCTGTTGCAGGGAAATGTTTACTGCATTTATGTCAGGTGCTATGGAAGAACAGTGTTAGAAGACAAGAACTGATGCACACAAAACAGACAACCAGGAAGTTTGGCATTTATTTTAAGGGGGTTTTCCTCGTAACCAGACAATTACCATAACCCGTTTTCATCAACGAGCTTCAGAACAGCCCCTTTTCACAGAGAAGCCCATTTGGTACGTGACTTGGAAATCAACATTCATAGTTAATTTTTATAAATCAAGAGCACAAAGATGAACCAATATCACAATGCTTCTCGGAAGAGCAGCACCACAGCACAGGATGGCTGAGAATGCTGGAGGCAGATAGGTGCTTGGACTTGTGCCCTTTCAAGACAGAACAAGAAAAAACAGTATACAGGCAGCTAGAGATCAGATCTACAGTCGCTAGTTTTTGGCACTAATAGGCGAATTGTGAGTTCCAGTGGATTACCTCAAATTCAAATGCTTCGGGCGCTTGCTGTGCATGTTTGTAGTGCTCCTTCCAAAATGGATAATTCAAAAATCGTGGTCAGTCTATAAACCAACTGGTCTGCTTTTAAACTTAAAGGCAGACTCCCAAACAGAGGGGCAATCCACTTAAATCTGAACTCAGGGCAAGAAACTATGGCCCTTCTGGGGCAAGCTTAGGAATTGGTTCATCCTTGGATCTTCCCTTACTGGAGATCAAATAGCATCATCACTCAAGTCATTTTTTCCCTTTAAAATAAGCTAATATACAGAATATAAAGCACAATATTTACAACAATACAGTAAACAGTTTCATTTCCACTCTGAACAGTAGTCTGTTTTAATGAGTATTAAAATAAAACTCTTACATGATTCAAAAAAACCCCTAACAGACACAAAGTGACATGGCATGGAAAGGAGTTAATTAATGTCTCCCATTTAAACGCTTTAAAAAATAAATACCATTTTTGGCAAAATTTAGCTAAAAAATATTTTAACCCTAGGGACAGATGACTTTGTATATTCCTTTCAGTGAAACCATATTATAAAGAAGTGTGGTTAAGTGCCCAAGCTTTTAACCATCTTAAACATTTATTTCTAGAACAAGATTTAAGATTAAATCTTTGTATGTGTTGTCACTTCAGGCAGCCAACAAACTAACCGTGGCCCAGATTAGCAGCACAGGGGTACATGCATGTTCCACCATGGGAATGATTTGGACTGTCAGTTTCAAAACCTTTAGACAAGTACTGCAATGAAGTCAAA